GGAAATAGAGCTGAGACCTGATTTGTCATATGAGGAAGAGCCCATTCATATATTAGAAAGAGATGAGAGAGTTCTTCGGAATAGGCGCATTCCAATGGTTAAAGTTCAATGGAGTAATCGAGGCCCCTCAGAAGCTACTTGGGAGACATTGGAGTCAATGGAGGCTCAGTTTCCTCAACTGTTCTCATAAGGTAAATTTCGAGTATGAAATTTCTTGTAGAGGGGGAGAATTGTAACAACCCGAATATTTACAAAATAATAATTAATTGAAATTGGAGGTTAATTGTGAAAATTGGTAAATTGTTGGTGACTAAATCAAAATTTATGAGAGTTTATAGGCCATTTTAGAAGTGAAGGAAATCCAAGGACCAAGCCTTGAATTTACCCTAAAACTGTCGGCAGCTTTGATTATAAGCGTGCATTTGGTTCTGATTTTCAGAACCAAAATGCTCTCAATTTTCCTTTCCCATACGCAGTTTCCAACTCTGATTCCGACGCCGTCCGAATTCCGATCGTTGTTTTGAAACCACCGTTGTGTTCATCATCGAGCGAGAAACAAACCCTTCAAATTAATTGAAGCGAAATGCGGCCAAACGTCGGGAATTTCCCGTCAAAGCAGCGACATTTTTGTTAGCTCTATCACCGAGAAAATCTTAAATTCATCGCCGATCGTTGCTCCATTTACGACACCTCCCACACCATCGTGTTCCTTGTGCCGTTCCGAGTCCACCGGTGTTCCCCTTTTTCTCCGGCGGCGGCGGCGCGTGGGGAGGTGAACCGGTCAAACTTCCCGATTTGATGAATTCGAGCTCTCCGACGATCAAAAATTTGAACCGAGCTTTGTAAGTATCTCGAAAACGCTCAAAATAATTTTTAGAAATTTTTCCGTAATTTTTAGAGCCCCGGAGGACACCTCACGCGCCGCCGTTGGGCGAGTGAGTGACCGGTTCAACCGGTTTTCTTAAGGGTTTGACCGGTTTGACCGGTCACGACCCGACCCGTTGACCCGACCCGATCGTTGACCGTTGATCGGTGCTATTCTGGTAAATAATTCAGTTTTGGTGTTATTCTGGTAAATAATTCGATTTTGGTGCTATTCTGGTAATTAATTCGAAATGGGTGCTATTTTGGTGATTATTTTAAAAAGGGTGCTATTTGTGTAAAATGTTCAAAAGTTTGTTGACCTCCTTTGACCAGAACTTTGATCGGCTTTGACCGGCTATTAAACGATCGTTAATCTTTTTCGAGTATACCTATCCTGATAGTTTTCGACGTGTCGAATCCGTTTCCGTTGTCCGTTTCATCAAATTCAAACCCGAAGGTCTCCAAATCGACGGTTAAAGTGGTTGAATTTGACTTTGACCAAGAATTTGAATTTTCGGAAAGTCATAATTTATGTTTTTCGATGCCCTGATTCCGATCCCGCAATCCGTTTGGCCAAATTCAGACTCGAAATACCCCAAATTGATAGTCAAACCCGAAAAATGCTTATATACTTAAGAAGTTTAGCTTTGAACAATTAAATAGGATTTGGGACTGATAAATATTATCGTTTGAAGGTACAAGAGACTCTCCGGATCGTTCGACAGCTCGACCCAGCTCTTCTAGATCAGTTAAACCACGTGTGCCAGTATTCACCCGTTCGAAAACTGTAACAGAGCGTGGTGAAACCAGCAATCAGTAGATTTGCTATTTGAACCTATTGTCGAGGTGTGTTCCCTACTTATTATTGAACTGTTTTATTGGTTTTAATATGTGGTACACCGAATTCATTGGTTATTGTTTTATGGATGCACCAATTTAATGTGACAATTTATGGAATATGGCTGCTATCTAATTTTTGTTTTGAAATGGTATATGATTACCATGTTTTTGGATTTATGGAATTTATGTCACGATGCAATTGAATTTTGGAATTGAATTACGATGGAATAGCTCTGATCAAGCTAACTGGGTCTAATGTGACTCTTGAGGGCCCCAAGATGTTTCATTAGGTCGGTTTTCCTTTGTTGTGTGCTTAGGGTAAGCTATATGGACTTATTGACTAGGGCTTAAGGATACAAGCTTCAGAGCCTATCCTTAAGTCGGCTTTCTTTTTGCTATGTGCATAAAGTAGCTATATGGAAAATAATTTTGGGAACTACTGATGGTGTACCAGAAAAGGGTTTAAACTATGATTTTCAAAAGTTAAACTCTTTTACGAATTTGTGAGATTACTGGACTATGATTTGTACCTATTGTGATTTTATGGAAATGTTGGGACACACTGAGCCTAGCTCACCTTTTGAAAATGTTTTCCCCCTTTCAGATACTGTTGGTTAGATACCTCGGTTCGAGCACTTGGAGGATCAACATATCTCTTGAAGTAAATCAGATTGTAATGTTTTTATCTTGCAAATTGACTTTATTTTGGTGACATGGACCTTATTTTAAAATATCAGATTTTATAATGATGACTCTTTTGCTATTATTGCTCGGTTTATTGTGATTTTGAATTTGAAGACATGTTTTAAATTAAATTATTATTTATTGGTACTATATTTACGAGTTGGATTTTGATAGTATAATTTGTTTATAATTTCATGTTATTTATAATGTGATTTTATATTGATGGAATAACAGTTTCGAAAAATGTCTTTAATAATCATAATGTGATCCACTAGACTTAGTCGAAACGCATAGGCCGGGTCTAGGGGGTTACACCTCCAAGGTCAAAATTCAGTCGACCATCGTCCCTTGGTGGTCGGATTTAACTCGGCCACCACGGTAAGCTTTAATCTCTTTTCTAATTTTTTGTTATTCGAAAATTAAAACATGTATGCAAAATAAAAAATTACCTTTGATGAAACATATGGAAAATGCTTGAATCTGAAAATTTCCTTGTGTATTGATTTTTTCGAATGGTTACAAGCTACCCTTTTTTTCTGTTTGAATCGTCCCTCTATTACATTTTTCGAATCTGAGCTCCCCCCTTTCCCTTTCTTTCTCGTGTGAATTAAATACCCATTACAAAGGAAAATAAATAATCTATAATAGAGCACTACTAGCATGGGTGGTCAACAAATATTAATGGTGGCAACATAATATAATTAGTGCTGAATTAGTGGAACATTGGTGCAAAAACAGCAGGGTATGGGTTGGCATGGCAGTGTATGGGCAGGCACTTGAGTGGGGAACAACAAGGTATTGTGCTGGTGAGTGGAGCATGGGCTGGTGCTGATGAGTGGGTGGACAAAAAATGGTGTTCACAAATACTATCTGTTATTACCTGAAATATCAGTAGGATTTCCGCTCAACATATAGATTTGTAGATATCTGAACCGATAAGGAAATACATGTTTATATGTATCTGCACGTTCTTCAGCATCATCTGGTAGTTCTGTATTACTGAGCTTTTTGAAGCTCACTCTATTACTCACCATTGCAGGTTAAAAGAATTGTACCAGTGCAGCTATCGACTTCAGTAAAGGAGTTCTTCCGACGTTGTTTGTAGAGTATGTGCATGTGATTAGGGGGCATGTAATTGTATTTTGTTTTATATTTGAGTCTGAAAATTTGTTTTAATTATGCATACCTATTAATGATTTTATGAGTTTACATGTTTTGATAAAAAGTTTTTAAATTTTCCGCTATTTTTACAGCGGGTCACTCCGGTGGCCTTAATGTGACACTCTAGATCGGATCGGGTTACCCGCATCGGTCTGAGGGGGTTACAGTAACAGTTTTGCTAAGTTTTAACGACGATATACCAAAACGAAACAAAAAGTAAACGTTAGGTATGCTTTTGAAACAAATAAAAATGTATGTACTAAAACAAAACAAAACTAAAAGTTTATATACTAAACTTGTAATTTACCCTAAATTATTTGGTTATATTTTTAAAATATAAATTATTTATTTTTATATTATAAACTTATATGATCTAATTACATCACATGTCCTCAAAGTATGACCCTCATTTTAAGTTGGCCCCTAAACTTGTAATATTTTAATTTCATCCGTAAATTATGATTATAATTCTAAATTAATCCTCAAACTTCTTAACATTTCAATTTCATCCTCAAACTAAAACTCTCATTTTAAATTGGGTTGGTCTCGTAGTATGTGGCTCCCCTCATCGCAACCAAGCTTACTACCGTTCAAATCTTTGAAGGGACTCTTCAATCATCGAGAAACGTTGAAAATCAAAGGGAAGTGGTCTCCCCCTTTTCTTTTTTGTTTCTTTTTTTTTTTTAAGGTTTTTATCTCCTTTAATCCTCTATCATACCTTCATTTTTTTAGGAGTGGTTTTTATAATCATTGGGCAGATTTTCCTCACCTTAAATCCAAGATTCAGAAATCTGCAAAAAGGATTTACTGGAGTTATCACCAACCATCCGAGTTCATCATGTGCTCCATGTTAGCCTACTAAAGTTGTATCATCAAGATGAGGAGTAATCGAATCTGGGCAAGTCACATCGAACACTAATTGAAGTGAATGTCTCATACGAGAATAAAGTTCGAGGAGTCCAGAAAAACATAGTCATCCGATGAGCAATACACCGTCTAAGACATGAGTACTTCATTTAATAGAAAAGACTTTCCGACAATGAGAAGAATTGGGAATATGCTAAAGGACTTTAGCAATTCAAATCCAAGATAGACTAAACTTTTTTATAACTAAACTTGTTTACATGTTCACTTTTACTTTCGTTAGAATTATGGATCCTATTACATAATGTAATATTAGATGTAATATATAAATGTAAAAGTAATATAATATTGGAATTTTAATTTTTTTTCAAATTTATATAAGAAGTTAATTTATTCATTCTTACTAATTACTATTTTAAATATTTTTATACTCAAATAGAACTCCATATTTGGGTGGACATTCTATAAATATAAAATAAAACAATGGAAGTTTGTTTAATTTTTAACTATATACTTTTTTTTTTACTTAAAAATAAATAAAAAATGAAAAAAAATCTTTAATAAAACGGAATAAAATAAAAACGCTGGCAAGCCGTGCACCCATAGTGCAAGTTAGCAAATCTGGTCTAGGAGATATATAAAAATCTGCGTAGAGCAGGCTGTGTCTTTATCATCCCCCGAGCCGGCGCATGTTAGCACGGGAACCGAAATCTTTTTCTTCTACGCGTTAAGAATTTCATTCTTTCTGAATTGTGATTACAATCGGCAATCTTTGATTGATCTGTTCTTCCCGTCTCTCGATCCATCGAATCCCTTCGCTCCTCCCCCTCGGAAATCAATCGGTGAGCTATCTTTACCTTTAATTTCGAATCTTATGCTTTTTTTTTTTAATTTCGAACCGATCAGCTTCTTAATGTTTCCGATATGATGATTATGCAGCTGTTTATCTTTTTTTTTATTAATTATTTATGATCTTGCGTAATTTTTTTTTCATAAAGAAAAAATATGGAAACAAATTTCTTTCCTTTTTTCTTTCAATTTCTTTGTTTTGAAAGCTAGAATTTTAGTTCAGTTTATTATTGTTGGATGATCATAGTATTAATTGATTGCTTTTTTATATGCAAATCCAATTTGTAGACTAACGAACAGGGTAGATCTATGGCATAACAATAGAGATTGTCTTAATTGCATCCTTTGTCTCCCCTCCCCCATTTCTCCTTCCCTAGAGCAATATGTATCCGGAGAAGAAACCAAGAAGCATTGCGGATATAGTCAATATGAGACATTCTCCTTCACTGGTAGACCTTTGTGTTAGAACAGCAATAGATAATGTAAGGTACCTTGGAGATGTTGGTGAGACAGACACACATTTACTTGAACGGATTCTACCGCATTGTACAATTGATCAATTATTGCATGTGGAAACGAGTACAAAAGTAAGTTGTCCTCATCATATGATCCACAGTTAGATGTTTTCCTTTGGTTCTGTACATTTAACAGGCACTAATCAATTGGTGTAGGGAAGGGATCTTAGTCCGGTAACTGATAAACTATGGAAGAATTTCTATGAGCTGCAGTTTGGTCGTGATAGTATGAAAGTTGTAATTGAGAGGATGAAACGAAAGAAAGTCTCATTTAGATGGAGACAGTTGTATGAGGTAATCTTTATCTTTTCTTTTTTCCTTGCATGCCATCTTCTTGCTTAATAGCTAGGCTGTTGGTGGAATGCTGAGGAACCAGCATCGTGCCTTTACTTGTTTTTGGACACTGTTATCAACTTCCCTACTAAAGTTGAATGATTTGTTGCAGGCAAAATTGAAGGATGTTCAAGAGGCTGAGAACAAAGCAATTGATCGGCTGAGACAATTATACAAGAAAGAAGATGCCCGTAAGCTCCTTATTCTCTGAATCTTTTATAACAATATAAGCCGTGCTTTTGACAATTATACATGTGTGCTTCTATCTATTGTAAGCACTTTGGGATCATTACTTGTGCAATAGTGCCTTAAGCTTTCTCTTGTATGCACCTAGGTCTTGCTTAACTAGGCGACATAGTTCAGAAAGTACTGAAATTGGAACTATTTATTGAATGCCATTCCCAAGAACATGCATTGGGTCAAGCTTGTGCTGAGAAGTGACCTTTAATTGCGTGTCTACATACTTGGACTGTGTACCCTTGACCCTACGACTGATTGGAGAGGACTAAAGAGTCTTTCTCGTGGTAAAATGAGATGTCTACCATTTTCCTTAATTGCTAAACAAAATGTTCAGATTTTACTATTTTAGCTTGCTATAGGATTTTTGTTCACCATGATTTGCACTATCATAAGTCCAACATAGTTTTGGCTTTCACCATTGAACAGTTTATGTTGTAGAGCTTTATTAGGGCATTCATCTTCAACTAGTGCATTGATAAGAACTCTGATTGACATGAATGAATGAACCAATAAAACATGTATTATGCCATTTTCTGTTGATCTCCATCAATCTTCCATCCCCTGTAGTATTTGTAGATTTGGTTCTATTTCTAGTTATTTGCACTGCTACGGCATTTAGGACTGTACAATTTCTCTGAGACAGTTCATGATGTAGATTGGCCTTAAGTTTCTGTTAGGTGTATAAAGGGGGACAAAGCTCACAATACTAGGATGGTAAAACTAATTTCATTTGATCAATAGATGCATCCTTTTCTTGTTTGTTATGCTTCAAAACTTTGAAGTGTCAAAGAAAAGTTCATCAGACGATCTAGTAGTTGCATTGACAAGAAGTTTTGGATGGTTGGCTGATTATTTTCTTCCATTAAACAATTTAATGAATAAGAATATTTGATATCCATTATATTTTTTTTGGTGGTATCTTTTATACACACACACACACACACTTATCATGGCTGTGGTGTTGCGTTGATTGAATACTTTGGTACTGTCAAAATGGATTTAAAATGAAGATGTGTTGTGTTATTTAAGAGAACCTTTCATATCAATACATTAACAAAATGAGTTTGTAGAAAGCAAGATTTTGCTGTGTGTTCCAGCACCTATGCTCTTTCCATCATCAGAATTTCTTACCTTGACTTAACTTGATTAGGAAAACAAAGCCGGCAGGTTCAGCTTTGCACCAAGGTTCCACCTTCAAGCAAAAGAAGCTTCTTTTCTGGTAATATTCGTTGTTTCTCTGAAGCAAGATTGATTTAGTTTATTGGTTTCTTATTGTAATATATGCGATTTTGATCTTTGTAACTGTTAATAAATAGTGTACTTTGCGAAGTGTTGGTTCTATTTTTGAAAGTCTTTAACATGTTCTCTAGGGAGTGGACCTGGCTGCAGTTTCTCCAATAAGAGCAACATAATGAAGAAAGCGAAGATAGATTTTATGAAGAGGTAATCATTGTTCTCTTTTATGAAAACTGTACACCTACAATGATCGGCATTAAGATTCCACATCGTTAAGGTGAATATTCAAGGGAATTAATTGTTCTTTTCTTCTCATTCCATCTTTAAACAGTCAGGAAGTGAAAAATCTTGCAGCCATTAAGAAAAAAGCAGTGCAGAGTCATCCTAGGTAATATCCTTGACTCTATATTATTCAATTTTAGATCAAACAGCCATCCATTAATTTGAGCTGGCGACTCGTTACATTGGCTTCTTGAAACACAGTGGTTCCGCTGTAACGAAGTCAAGTGGGTTTTGTGGAAAGAATTCTGCTTCAATATCAAAGCATGCCAAACCTTTAGAGAGGAGATTTTAGAAGCATGTTTGTAAAAGTTTAAGAGCAGTCCCAAAAAAGGTTCTGCTGCCTCTCTTTTTCATCTATCTTTGTAATGTTTGGAAAGTAATAAGGGACCGATTTGTGACTTTATAAACATAATTTTGCATAATGCAATTATATATAAGGTTTTTGCATTTCTTACCCCTCCCAAACTTTGATGGTTTAATTGTCTACAAGTCGTTAATATTTTTGAAATCATTACAATTAAGTCCTCGTTCCTCTCAAAATTTATTATTTTAATTATTTTTGGACCCTATCAATTTTAAAACGAAATCATGTTTAGACCTCCATTTCTTCTGGTTTAATTAATTTTTAAGATCATTTAATTTTAAAATTAGTGAAATTAAACTATAACTCTTTTAAATTTGACGGTATATTCTATTTTAAAGATCCAATTTATTTCAAAGTTAAACAACTTGCTTGCCCCCTCATAGTTTAATCCTTGCTTTGTTTCTGCTTCAAAAACATATTAAATTTTTTACAAGGTCACGAGTTCAATTTTCAGGACCTTTAAAATCAATAGACTAGTAGAGTTAACGACATGTTAATGTAAGAATCAAAATGGAATGATATTGATAGCTTGAGGAATGATGTAGAATGTTTTAAATTTTAGTGATCAATATAGATGTGGTCATAGTTTAAGGACTTATATGGAACATTTTAAAGTACAGGGACTAATTTAAAATCTTATTCCATATCTAAGAAGAAGAAAAAGAAGAAGACCTAAGCCATTAAGAAGGGCAGAACGGTGAACATGAATTCTCCGTATGTAAAGGTTGCAGTACCAGTGTGCATGCTGTCGTACTTCTTGAATTTCTCAGTTAAGCCCTACGTTACAAACCACAAAATTATTTAGGGTTGGTTTGATTCATGAAATGTAAAATTACCTTTTGGAATAAGATTACTAGAATCTTACATAAAAAATCAAAGTCACATCAAAATTGATAAAATAGGAAAGCTTACTTTAACTATAAGACTGCACCTGCGTTGAGAAGAAGAAGAAAATTTGACAAAGATTAGTTGATATTACAGGCATAAGTCAATGGAATATCACGTTAAAAAACCAAATGCTTGAAACACAAAATGAATCTCGAATGCCAATAGTTACAGATCCGTAAATTTTTTTTGAAGATGAACACATATATTTACAATATAATTTTTTGTACGGGTGGACATAAATAAAATTTCTATATGAAGATCATCAGTAAAATGAATAACTAATTGAAAAAATTCATATTTTAAGTTAGACACCGCCGAATGAGATAAACTTAAATAAATATTCAATGAATCTTACAGGATGAAGTTTTCATAGTCGATGGTCCTTATTGGACCCTGAGTTGTGTCGAACTTGGTTACTAGCAATTCCAAGACAGTGGGAGGAAGTGCAATTCCTTGACTCAACAGTGCTTCACTCATTCCATTGGCGTCGATTTTACCACTCATGTCCCTATCCAATTTCTCAAAAATTGCCTACAAAACATAAACTTGTACTCATTTTCTAACCCATTGATGTAATCATAGAAGGAAGAAAGAAACATTCTTTTGGGAATTACCCTCAAACTCTGAAGACTATAGAACAATGAAGTGAACTCCATAGGACCTGTACTAAGAAAAACAAAAACTACTAAAATCAAGGATAACCCGGGGAGGTGTTGGGGGCGGTCGAGCCCTTTGAAAAGTTTAAATTCTGATACAATTTAGATATTTTTTTAATATTGTTAATATTAATGTTAATATAAATATTTTTAATATTAATTTTATTTTTTAATTTAGTGCGAGATTTAACCAAAAATATTTAAATCCAATGCTCTCAAGCCCAAAGAAAAAGAAAATTAAATAATTAGCCATTAAATCCATTTCCAAGTCATTATAGGGATAGAACCCTATCTCACCCCCGAATTGCCCCTCGAACATTGGCCAAATCTTAGAAAACAAAGTGCCAAAATATACATGAACGGGGGGTTCTTTTAGTCATTATGTTGCATGGAGCTAAAAAGTATACTCTACGTGCATGCTACACTTGGGCAAAGTTACCAACGAGGTTCTTGAAAAGTTGGTAAAAGTTTAGGTGTTATGTCTTTGAATATTCATTCGAGTTTCAATTTGTATAAACTGTGTAAAATGTTTAAACTTTATTTTAATTTTAATTAAAAAATTATTTAAATTAATTAAATCAGAAAATATTTCATAATCGTACCAATATGTATTGGTTGTATTTTTAGTTAATGTAATTATATTTGTACTCCTACAACAAACATCAACTTAAGTATGTACAGCTGATCCAACCATAATTAATTGGATATGCCTAATTTTTAATTATACATCTGATAATAATTAATTGGACATACCTAATTTTTAATTAATTTTGATCTTTCATTAAAGTCAAATAAAATTTAGTATGCCTAATCATAGGCCGGTTGGTCTATCTAGCCCGGCCTATATCGAATATGTGAAAAGAGTTTAACTAGTAAGTTAACACTGTCATGATTCTAGTTTAATGAGATAAAATATAAATAACAATAAAAAATCAGGGGTAAAATTAAAATATATCAAAATTTAAAGATCTAAATAAGTATTTATCTTTATTTATTTTTTAATAAAAAATAGTGCCCCTAGGACTACATATAATTTACTCCCGACAATCAAATGTAATTTAAAATAGGATAAACTATATGTTTAGTATCGAAACTATTAGTTTTGTTTCATTTTAGCATCTAAACTTTCATTTGCTTCAAAACTATATCTAACGTTTACTTTTTGTTTCATTTTAATACTCCGCCGTTAAAAACTTAATGGAACTATTGCACGTGGTACTTTTTAATGGGTAAATTACATAATTCATTACTTAACTATCTTCTCACTCTTATCTTGGCCACTAAAGTTTAAAATTTTTAATTTAACTACTCAATTGTCAAATTCCTCATGTTTCAATCACTCTAATTTATTTTATTAATAATTTTTGTGACATGACATTTTTATTATTATTTTATTAATATATAATTAAAATAAAAAATAAATTTGAAAGTTAGAGTGATCAAATTAGGAGTAATTTGGAAGTTAAGTAATTAAATTAAAAAAATAATCTTCAATGACCAAAATAAGAGAAAAGATAATTGAGTGATGAATGATGTAATTTACCCATAAATAAGTGCCGTGTTCTAACAATTATGCTAAGTTTTTAATGGTGATGTATCAAAACGAAACAAAAAGTAAATGTTAGGTATGATTTTAAAATAAATGAAAGTTTATGTACTAAAATGAAATAAAATTGATAGTTTAGGTACTAAATGTGTAATTTACCCTTTAAAATATATAATTTAAAATTAATTATATAATATAAAAATATTGATATAAGTTTATATTTGTAATATTTTATCATTATTTTAAATAAAAAAAAATAAATAGATTGCTTAAGTTAAATTTAACTTGAAATATTTTAAAATCAAATGTTTTAATTTTGTGGTGTTTTAATTTAAAATTATATATAATATGTTAAAAATAATATAAACCTTTTTTATTTTAAGTTATTATGATTAACTATGTAAAACATTGAATTTAAAAAATAGTTTTGAAAATAAAATATTCATACTAAATAACTCAAATAAGATCCAAGTGTTACAATAACAATAATACTAATTCAAATAATTAATAACAATTAATATTTGTTCAAGATATTTCTTAGCAATTAATAATGCACATATAACTAGGGATGGCAAACGGGTACAGTTTCGTGGATTCCGCACCGCATCCGCTCCAATTGGAGTGGGGATGGGTATAATTTTAGCGGGTAGTGGGCGGGTGTGGATTTATAAAGTGGTACCCGTCGTGGGTGGTGGGCGGGTAATGGGTTTGAGACATTACCCACCCCGCATCCGCCCGCCCCGCATCCGCCCGCCCCACATCCGCCCGCCCAGCTAAATATCTATTAAATTTTGGACCATTATGAATTTAGGTGTAATTTTAGAGACTAATTTATAAATTTTAATATTATATAATATATAACATATAATTTAATTAAATATTAAGGATATTTAGTCTTTAATCTGGTATTTAATTAGGGAAATATTCGGCTCTTTGATTAAACCCATAATCTCACTAACCACGTCACTTTCCATGTTCTTTAGCCCATGCTGCCCATCCAAACACAAATTAGCCGTACTATAAGCATTAACATCAAAAGCAACAGTTTCCATGTTCTTTAGCCCATCAAAACCCATATTAGGCGCACTATGAGCATTAACATCGAAAGCAACACAACAATCCAGCTCTGCGACTACATGCTCCCTACAATATGTCTCCATAACATTCGTAGAGCCACTCATTTGACAAATTGAAGCATGCGCTGCTACCCCATCACGAACTGTCAGCGAACCAACTCCAACATCTCATTAGTTTGTTGTCAGGCGGGTCTAAATGGGTATGTCGCTAGTGGGTAGTGGGTGTGGGGATGGATTTGAAAATGTACCCGCGTGGGCGGGTGTGGATTTGAAAATTTGTACCCATCATGGGTGGTGGGCAGGTGGTGGATTGAAAAATAGTAGGTGGGTATGGGGATGGGAGAAGGGGTATCCGCACCCGACCCGCCCGTTTGTCATCCCTACATATAACCTACAAATATAACTACTCGAATCCAATACCTTTAGAGAGAACATAATTCCCTTTAACTACTAAGACCGCTCAATAAACCGAAACTCATCTTTATCTTTAGCCCATCATTCATATATTAATACTTCTCACTAAAACTTATTTCATACTTATATGGATCACATGGTTATATATATATATATATATCATTATACATTAAATCATAAAATATTAGAAGTAAAAGTTATTTTATTTGATAACATGATGCAAATTTTTGAGAAAATAATATCGAATACTAAATATAAATCATAAAATAAATATGTAGCATAGAAGAAGAAGCTGACCGATCTTTCTTGTGTCACTGTTAGTGAAGAGATACATGAGCAAATGGACAGTTCTCAAACTGAAGCTTTCGTTGCAGGAAGTAAGAGCTGTGTGCAACTCCTTATCATCAATAAATCCACTGCCGTCTTGATCAGCCAATTGAAAGCAAGCCACGATGTTAGGATCCGTCTCCGGTGGAAACGTCGACGGAAACAGAGCCGAGAATGGGCTGACGTAACACCCTGCAGGAGGAGGACCATAGTTGGAGGGGTGTTCATCAGACATGCTTCGATGTTTTTGTTGCCGAGAATGAGCTCTCAATTCGTTTTTGAGTGTGCGTGTTGATTCATTGATGTGGTATTTGTAAAGCAAGAGTTTGTTAAAGGGGGTTTACTTTTGAATACTATTTACAAGACTGCCATTCTTTGGATTAATTTTACTATGCAAGACCCATTCTTTGGATTGTTTAAATTCTGTAAAAGCAACCCTATCTAAGGGCCTTTTATATTAATAAAATTCTTTTTTATTATTTACATAAACAGTGTTCAAAAACTATTATTTGGAAAAATAATACTCATTTAAAAAAGACGTACCACGCTGATTACATTTCTAATACATGCGTTTGATAGAATATTTTTCTAAAATAGATGTTATTTTCTTAAATAATATTTTAGTATTATTAACTCAAATAATAATAAAATATTATTTACATAAAATTATCCCATTGACAAAATGGAGAAATATTTATTAAAATATATTGAAGTTAGCCGCCGTGTGGTCCTGATAGTTATTTACCGGTAGAACTAGTTTCCAGGCTTAAGTATTAATTAGGGTGGGAATCCATTTTTATTCTTCTATTTTCATTAGTAAAAAGATTTTTATAACTTCAAAATTTGAGTAGACTAATTATTTTTATACTACTTAATTTTTTTTAATTTTAATAAATTAATACTATTATAATTGATTAAATTTTAATAAATTTTTTATTGATTTATGATTACTTAGGATCGTTGGATGAGAGTAAGGATGTTTATCGAGTGAGTCGATCACGAGTTTGGTATTGCTCGACTCGTGCTCGTTAAAAAATTTTGTTGCTCGACTCAACTCGTTAAGCTCACCTGAATTTTTACATTATTTTTTTAACTATTAGTAAAATCTATTAATACTAGATAGAGCTTAATATAAACATAAATTAACAAATTTAACCAAAAAAATATTAAAAGTGTTGACGAAAACGGGTAAAGAAAACGAAAGAACACGAGAATTTTACGAGGTTCGGCAATGTGCTTACGTCCTCGGTGCCTAGGCGGCGCTAGAAGTTTTATTCAATTATATTTTAGGTCTAGGTTACATCTCTATTTATAATAGAAAACCCTGGTACATAATTACAAAATTAACCCTGTACCGTACCGCGGGGGCTGCTCCCCCCGCACCCCCAACCCACATAATTCGTAACCCCACAACGAGACTTTCTTTGTAAGGGCAGTTGATGTTCGCTTCGCTCACTTCGCTCCATCTCCTGTCCTCTTTACTGGTATATTTATGAGCCATACCTAACAAATCTCCACCTTGGCGAATATCCTGCCTCTTGAAAATTCAATGTGGGTTGGGTTACCTTGATTCTTTAACAACTCGAAACATTCAACAAGTCCAAGCAATGCTTGAACTTGTCTGTCGTAACTGGCTTAGTGAACATATCAGCGGCATTTTCATCAGTATGTACCTTCTGAAACAAAACCTCTCCAGATGCAACCAACTCTCTGATCTTGTGGAACCTTACATCAATATGTTTAGTTCTAGCAAGATACACCTGATTCTTAGCCAAGTGAATAGCACTTTGATTATCACAAAGCAACTGAACTCCACCTTGTTGAACACCCAACTCCTTCACTAAACCAGTAAGCCATAAAGCTTCTTTTGCAGCTTCAGCCGCTGCCATGTACTCAGCTTCAGTTGTAGATAGAGCCACAATAGATTGAACAATAGACTTCCAACAAATAGGCCCTCCACCAAGAGTAAAGACATACCCTGTCGTATATCTTCTATTATCCAAGTCACCTGCATAGTCTGAATCCACATATCCTACAACCAAAGGATTATCCCGCTGACTCCCAAAAACAATTCCATGTCCCACAGTACCCTTTAAGTACCGAAAGATCCACTTGACTGCTTCCCAATGTTGCTTACCAGGTTTAGACATGTACTTACAAACTTGACTAACATCATGAGCTAAATCAGGACGAGTACATACCATCGCATACATCAAGCAGCCAACAGCATTAGAATACAGAACCTTTGCCATATCTTCAGCTTCCTTATCTGTCTTGGGGCACTGTTCTGATGAGAGCTTAAAGTGATTCGCCAATGGAGTGCTAACTGGTTTTGCGCTGCTCATCGCAAACTTTTCTAGCATTTTCTCAACATAACCCCGTTGAGATAGCCGCAGTTTCCTTGAGTCTCTGTCCCTGCAAATTTCCATTCCAAGAATTTTCTTTGCAGCACCTAAATCTTTCATATCAAATTCCTGACTCAATAAAGTTTTCAAACCGATAACATCATCCATGTTCTTCGCAGCAATCAACATATCATCAACATACAGTAATAGAAAAATAAAAGAACCATCATCAAGGCTCTTAACATAGACACAACAATCATACTCACATCGGTTGTAGCCAATCTTGATCATATAGGAGTCAAACCGTTTATACCACTGTCTCGGAGACTGTTTCAACCCGTACAAAGATTTCTTCAATCTGCAAACTAAATACTCGTTTCCAGGTTGAGTGAAACCTTCAGGTTGCCGCATGTAGATCTGCTCCTCTAAATCACCATGCAAAAAAGCAGTTTTAACATCCATCTGCTCTAAATGCAAATCCCAACTAGCCACCAATGCAAGTACTGCTCGGATTGAAGTGTGCCTGACCACAGGAGAAAAGATTTCATCATAATCAACTCCTTTCTGCTGTGAAAAACCCTTCGCTACCAAACGAGCCTTGAACTTCTTCCCCTCTTTTTTTGTTACTGCTGGTTTCTTCTTATACACCCATTTGCAACCAATCGGCTTCTTACCCTCAGGAAGGGGAACTAACTCCCATGTGCGATTGTGATTCAAAGACTCCATCTCCTCAACCATGGCTGCCATCCACTTGTCGTTTTCCTGACTAGTAACGGCATCATGAAAAGTAACCGGATCATCACTGCTAACAATAAGTGCAAAAGATACTAAGTCTTCAAAACCCAATCTGTTCGGTGGCTTTATATTCGTCCGTCTCACCCTGTCTCTGGCGAGACTATAATCCTGCAAATCATCCGTAGTGGAACCACCAGAAGTCGGTTGAGAAGTTTCTGGTTTCTCAACTGGAAACTGCTCGAAATCCACCACTGTCGTGTCTTGCTTCTGCTGCAACATGGATTGTTCATCAAAAACGACATCTCTACTAATCACAACTTTCTTCGCAACTGGATCCCAGAACTTGAATCCTTTGACACCTTTCTTGTAACCCAGAAAAATGCACTTCTTCGATTTTGCATCAAGTTTGGATCTCTCATCAGCAGGTACATGCACATAAGCAGGACAACCAAAAATCCGTAAGTTATCAAAACTAACATCATGACCAGTCCATACCTCTTCTGCAACTTTCCCAGCCAGCGATGCCCTTGGCGATCTATTGATAAGGTAACACGCCATGTTAACAGCCTCAGCCCAGAAGTGTTTGGGAAGCCCCGCATTCAACCGCAAACATCTGGTTCTTTCATTCAACGACCTGTTCATTCGTTCCGCAACACCATTCTGTTGTGGTGTCTTGCGCACTGTAAAATGCCTCTGAATCCCATGCTCCTTACAGAATTGTAGGAACTGTGAATCTGTGTACTCCGTACCATTGTCAGACCGCAAACACTTGATTTTTCGTCCTGTTTGGTTTTCTACCTCAGCTTTCCACAGCTTGAACTTCTCAAAAACTTCAGATTTCTGTTTCAAAAAATACACCCAAACTTTCCGTGAAAAATCATCAATAAAAGTAACATAGTACCTAGATCCACCCAAAGACGATGTCGTGGGAGGCCCCCATACATCAGAATGCACATAATCAAGAATCCCTTGAGTTGTGTGCTTCGCAGTCTTGAAACGGACTTTAGTCTGTTTACCAAGAACACAATACTTGCAAAAGTCGAGCTTACAGCTTTTGACACCATGCAACAAGTTTCTCTTGTGTAATTCTGCCATACCACGTTCACTAAGATGAGCAAGGCGCATATGCCACAATTTTGTCATATCATCACAGGACTCAACAGAGTGAACTCCACCTGCAACGGTACTCCCTAACAATCTGTAGATATTCCCTGCAGTCATCTTGCCTTTCATCACAGTCAATGCTCCTTTAACAATTCGAATGGTTTCCCTATCCTCGTCAGCCTTAGGGATAAAACCATTCTTGTGCAAAGTGCCCAAGGAAATCAAATTCTTCTTCAAGTCTGGGATATGTCGAACACCACTCAACGTCCGAACGGAGCCATCGTGCATCTTAATTCTGACATCACCAATACCAACAATATTGCAACATTGATCATCACCCAAATAAACCGAACCAGAATTAACCGGCCTGTATGTCAAAAACCATTCCCTATTTGGCGTGATGTGATAAGAACATCCAGAATCAAGAATCCAAGCATCCGTCAATTGTGTCGTTGAAATAGAAAGCATATCACCCTCACTGCAATCAGAATTATCATCCTCGAGCACGTTCACAGACTTGGATGAGCCATCACGCTTCTCATCAGTCTGCTTTTTCAACTTCGGACAGTCTCGCTTCATATGTCCCGCCTCCTTGCACTTGTAACAGTGAATCGTCTTCTTATCCCTGGATTTGGATCTGGAATTCCGCTTCCCGGACCCTACCTTCTCTGGCTTCCGTCCACGATCTCGATTACCCTTGACATATAAGCTATCGGCTTGAGAGCTTTCCCCAGCATTCTGCTTCCGCTGGTTATGAGCCAACAAGGCTGCAGTAATCTCCTCAACGTTGATAGTCTCTTTCCCATATGTAAGAGTAGTCACCATGTGTTCGTAAGAGGAAGGCAACGAACACAACAGAATCATCGCTCTGTCTTCATCCTCAATTTTCACATCAAGCCGAGCCAGATCAGAAACGATTTGATTGAAGACATTCACGTGTTGCGCCAAATCGTGATCGTCCTGCATCTTCAGCCCATACAACCGCTGCTTCAGATACAGTTTTGTCGTTAAGGATTTGGACATAAACTGACTTTTCAACTTCCTCCAAATTTCGTCTGGAGACGATAGATGCATGACGTGATACATGACCTCGTCCGCCAAGCATAATCGTATGGTTCCTGCCGCTCGCTGCTGCAATTCTTCCCAATCTTCCTCATCCATCGACGCCGGCTTTGTAGGTCGCAAAGCTTTCAAGATCCCTTGCTGCGCCAATAGATCCTTCACCCTCGTTTGCCATAATCCGAAGTTACCCTGACCATCGAATTTCGCGACTTCGAATTTTGCTCCTGACATCTGATACCAATTGTTGACGAAAACGGGTAAAGAAAACGAAAGAACACGAGAATTTTACGAGGTTCGGCAATGTGCTTACGTCCTCGGTGCCTAGGCGGCGCTAGAAGTTTTATTCAATTATATTTTAGGTCTAGGTTACATCTCTATTTATAATAGAAAACCCTGGTACATAATTACAAAATTAACCCTGTACCGTACCGCTTTACTGGTATATTTATGAGCCATACCTAACAAAAAGAGTGTATGAAGCAATTTTAAAATCTAAACCCCAAAGTAACAATCCACAAATATACCACATTAATATATTAAAACCAAATAACAATCCACAAATAAATCAAACTAACATATTAAAACCATTCTTGAAAAAAAGTTCAACAACACATTAAGGTATCGAGTCGAGTTTTAACCAAGTATTGACCGAGTAAAGTTTGAGCTGCTCAACTCATTAATCACCTCTAGATGAGAGGAAATCAAAAGCTGAGATTAACTCATTGTTTTTTCCAATGAATATCTTCTCATTTCCTATTGTTAATCTCAATTTTTAATTTCTCTCATTGTATATGTTTAGCAAATTTTCATATATGTTACTTGGATTTAGTGTGATTACCAAAAATATAAGATATTTATATGAATCATAAGTAGCAGTAAATCCAGGAATTTTAGTCCCTTTCAATTGAGCAAATGACCATTTTAGTCCCTCTCAAATCATTATAGTTGTCTATTTGTGGCAGTAAATCTGAATTTGTAATATACAAGCTCAAGGAGATGGGAAAAATTTCAGAGAAAGATATTTTGCAGATCTGCAACCAATTTGATGCATCAGACAATAGCAATTGTGGGAAAATTACAGTTGCTGATCTCATGGATACCGACCAACTCTTCTCCAAGTGTAGGTTAACAATATTTTTTCTTTTAAAATTTCACTACATATCTGCGGCAACTTTGAAATGTCATTTTTTTCAAAGAAAAATGAAGATTCCAAGTGTTACCATACTTTTAAAAGGGCAAATAGTAAAGGAGGATCCATTTCTTGCAATGGAGACTGCAAATCTCTCATAATGAACAAAAGAACCATTGAGTGATCATTTTTTTTCAATTGGTCAAAAAACAAATATTTTTTTTTAATAATTTGGGGTGATCACAAGTAGACATGCACAGAAGCCGGATTTCAATCCGATCCGGATTGGTTTTTATCCGATTCGGTTTTTTCCCATAGACAAATAACCGGTTTATAAAATAACCGGTTCGGAGGACCGAATATTCTAACCGGTTTCGGTTTGAAAAAACCGGTTTTTTTAAAAAACCGATTATAAAAAAACCGATTTTAATATTATTAAAATTACATCGTCATCAATTGCAACAAAGTTTACGATAATTGAAATACTTAAATACTTCCAAGTTCGATAAATTCAAATACTTAAAAACTTCCAAGTTCGATAAATTCAAATACTTAAAAACTTACAAGTTCGATAATTGAAACAAAGTTTACGATAATTGAAATAAAGTTTAAAAATAAACTACATTGCCATATCTTCTTCATCATCTTCGCCTTCTTCGTTTGGAGGGGATATTCCAAGTTCGACTTCTTCAATGTGTAAGTTTGCTTTCAAATCGGCATCAATTGCATCTTCTAGGGTGGTGATATGTTGCTTCCGAGCCCTCCGTCCAAATAATCCTTCAAACAAATGCATACTTCCACCGACTCGGAACTTAGTCTTGATCTCCGTTGCGAATATAACCCTGCCACTAACAGAAAAGCGGATTTTGAAGCTACCGTAGAAGCTTGGACGGTTAGTAAATCACGGGCCATGGCGGCTAGAATCGGAAATTGTGCTTCCTTTTCTTTCCACCAAGCCAAAATATCTAAACTTTCAAACTCTTCAAATGTCATTTTTGATAGAAAATCGCATGACATGTAATTTCCCAACTCGCTACTTGGGTAGTAGTACGTGATAGTTTGGATTGAGAATTTACAATTACAAGAGTGTTAAAAAGTGACAAATTTATGTTACTGGGACGTCTACTATATGATTCCACATTCGTTCTCATTTGATCGTGTATTACACTACTTGATCCGTATTTAGTTAAATAAATTGCAAACATGTCTCGAAAACATTTGTTAAAATAATTTATTTGGTTTTGGACAAAGTTGGGTTCATCATCGGTTAGATTAAAAGCAAACACAATTTGTTTAATTAGTGTTTCAACCCGCCAACATTTAACGTTAGGTTTAAAGCGGCGACACAAGTAAAAATGGGGGTATCTCCTTAAAATATTTTAAAAGTTTTTCTTTCATTGCAAAGCCAATTTCTTGAAAAACTTCGGTTTCAAATTCAAAGTCATTTAGTCGGGTAGCCAACAAAAATATTTGATTAAGAACCAACGGGCTAGTAGGGTAATAAACACCGGATAAAAAAGTTGTTGCATTTTTAAAAACCCCAAGCAAATCGATTATTTTGGCTATAGTTTCTCAACTCGAATCCGGATAAATGTTTGGGACATGACCCCTCTTGAAAAGTCGATCGTGAAATGTTTGCAATGTTTCCCTTTGCCTTAAGGCGGTATGCATCATCATCCAAGTTGAGTTCCAACGAGTTGGACAATCCAAATTAGGACCCAAAGTTTTTTTATTAACCGACTTACAAAATCGTTTATAATCATTTCGTCTTTTGTTGTTGTTACAAAGAACCGATTTTATCATTGCTTTAAATTCTAATCTAATCGGCTCAATAACCTCCAAACCGACTTGCACGAATAAATTAATTATGTGTACAACGCAACGGGTATGAAAAAAACGTACCTTCTAAAATCGGTGAAAGTAATATTTTCAATCTTGGAACCGCGTTTGTATTATTCGATGCGTTATCAAAGGATATAGAAAAAACTTTATTTTCTACTTTATAAAGACAAATTACCCTTTTTAAAAGTGTAAATAAATTAGCACCGGTATGCGGCTCACCGAATAATTCAAATGCGATTGTTCTTTTCATCATTTGCCAATTATCTAGATCTAACCAATGTGCCGTAATGGCAAAAAAAGAATTTCCGGTATTATGAGGGGAACTCCAAACGTCACATGTAAGCGACACACCATAACGATGTTCTTGGAATCCTAAAATCATTTTTCCCTCGCCGTACGCCACATTTTTATAGCATCTCTTCTAAGGGTAGTACGACTTACTTGAGTATAACGTGGTTGTATTAGTTGTTGAATTATTGCCGTGAAATCTTCATCATCAAAGTGGTCGAACGACAATGCTTTTGCAATCACGAACTTTGTAAACACTTCTCGTAATTTTTCGTTGTCGTAAACAAAAAACCACCTTGCGGTGTAAGATTCGATTGACTTGGATCCGATCTTGAGCGAAGTGCCTTGCATGATTTTATCAAATGGTTATTCAACGTTGTGTTTCCTTCTGGTGCAAGCAACTTTAGACAAAGTTTACAACGTGCCCTCCTCGAGCCATTTGACATCTCACATAAATCGTAGTGATCTCAAATATCTATGTTTCGAGTATGTTCGATCACTCTCACGACTTCAAGGTTTCCCCCGACGGAAGATTCAGCCGTGTTACTCATGATGAACAAAAAATTACAAAAATAAGATTTGAGAGATGTTTAGGTGTTGTGTAATAAGATTTGAGAAAGTTGTAATCAACCAAATACATCCCCAACCTATTTATACATGTTTAAGGTGGTAAAATGATAATTTTTTTAAGAAAAAACGATAAAAAACGGTCACAAAACCCCCCAATGACTATATTAACGGCTAATTTTTAAACCCAGACCGAGTTTTTTTCCGGATAAAAACCGGTCTAGGTTTTTTTCCCAAACCAGTTAAAATAACCGGTTTAAAAAAATCCGATCCGGTTAAAAAAACCGTTTTTTCCCAAATTTGGTTTTGGATATTTTTTTGCGCAAAATCGAATATTCGAATTTTTTTGCACCTCTAATCACAAGGTAGTATTTGTCTATAATCTTACTTCCTCATTGACAACGCACACACGCCTTACAGACGTAGCTGCTCGAAATTGAGACCTCAAGAAAGCAAACATTTAGTGAAAATTTTCCATATATTTTGCAAGGTCTATGAAGGATTTATATACATGTCCGAATATCTATCGGTGCACCAAGAACAATCTCTGTTGTAAGGTTCGCAACGAGCTGAAGTTGATGCAATTTAATGCACCAACGTCAGAAACAGACGGCTTCCTCAACATGCATCCGTTCTAATATATTAAACAAAATGGAAGTAGAAGAATTGGATTTGGATCAGATTCCTTCATCTATGATGCCTTCTCCTAGACTTGACACGCTTATACAATATCCATTTAATAACCAGAAAACCACCAACAACCACTTCCGCCACTGTTATCATCTTCAAACCTACATTCACCAACCCACATTTTTTGTCATTCCAAATGAGGAAAAGTAAATTATACATCATGAATGAGATTTACGAGTCCAATAGAAACATAAATAACATGATAAACGTGTATAAACCTTGAAATTTTTTCCGGTTGGACTTTCTTATTTCTCACCATCAAAATACAAAAGATGAAGCTAGAGGTCTCCATAAGATATGTTCAGCATACTTTGAATGAACAGTTACTAGAAAAAATAATCTGAAATGCATGTAGGGAAAGGGGGAATTCACTGACAGACAACCCCATTCTTAATGTGCATTATATACTGCATTAAACACACATTTGGTATTACATTAAGCAAATATCAAATCTAACTTCATTAGTTATTAAAATAATACTCAGTGCACTCATCTTCTTGGTTGTTTTTCACCATTTTAGGCATACATATATATGCTTGGTCGTTTGTTCATTGCTGATATACCGGAATAGAGACAAATCAATACCACTCTACCAAAATCAGCAGATTCTCCCCCACTCTTATCTCTCAGTGCCTTTCTCTACATAATTTGTTTGTTTTAAGAATTTGGAACTTAAAAATTAAAGAAAAAAGTCAAAAATAAAAATGACATGGCATTTTTTGTAACATGTCATTGACACAGTTTCCCCCCCCCCTCTTTTTAATTGCAAGCAATTAAAACTTCCAGTACCAACTTGACCCTTTTTGTTATAGTTTCAGTACCAAATGTGTAATTAACCATATTACAAAACAAAGGGGTATGCATAGGGGTGGGATTGAAGAGTTGATGCATGAAATTGGAACATACATTTGAAGTGAGATTTATAAGTCAAACAACCCATCATGACCAAATCAGTGTCATAAATCATATTCAATACCTGCAACTGTCTGGATCAAATCTTCTAAATTAATCCCACTCTTCACTTCCTTCGTTTTAGTAGCATCCATATAAGTAGTTGTAGAAATATAATTTTCAGTTTTGTACTCGACATTACCACCCATGATGCATGTATTGGGACATATGATGCCACCATCATGTTCATCGCTTCCGTCACAGCAATCTGAAAGATGACATATATTTAACAAAAAACCAAATAATAGAAAATCTTGCCAAGGTTGATATACATTAGGCTCAGAATCACGGAATTCAGTACAACACTTAAACTGAAAATCTAAAGATGCAAAACTATCTCATTAGAAGATCAAGAGTTTGGAAAAGAATAAAGAGCTTAAATATGTTGTGAAGCAATAGGACCAGGTAGTGACAGTATAACATTCAAATATTATAAGAGTATGGGGTTAGAATCTAGTTTTTGGTTTCAGAGTTGGTCCGTTATAGAAAATTAAAAAGAATGAGAAGAAAAAGGCATAGCAAAGATTCAATCCAAGGTATTCTTTCTATTCTATATTAGAGAGCTAAAGATTAAGATGGCGGAATACAAAGGAGCCTCTCACATTATCAGAACCACTAGCTATCCTAGTCCATGCAAAAAGAAACATTTCCTTAAACATTGTTTAGTTTCCTGCTTGAAACATCAATCCATGTTTACAAAAATGATCAAATCTAAAAAGATTATAAACAAAGGTTAACAAAAATAAAGTTGGAATAACACTCACCGCAAAAACGATCATTAACTCGAGAAGAAAAAATGAATCGAGGTATACTTCCTACATTCCTACAATAAAATTTGCCTGCAGGGCAAGCTGAAGTCCCTGCACAAACAAATAAGGCAGCCAAGAGACTCAACAAGTCAGAAAACAAAATAGAAAAATTAAAAAAGGCAATCCTAATCTTGAAAAGAATTAATCACCAATGTACTTGGCAATTGCCATATGAATGCACATAATCAAGAAATTAAATCAATGCAGGCAAATGTCATTGACAGGTAGAATTTTGTACTGTGGATGTCTTCCCAGCTACAGCATTAAAACAATATGATGAAAACACCAATTCTAGCGCAAAGACAATACATTTAGTGCAAATTAAAACAGTAAAAGCGATGGATTTGGCAGGAGAAGAGAATACCAGGCTCGTCAGTGCCGTCAAAGCAGTCACAGAAGTTGTCGTTAAGACGATCTCTGGTAAATGATTTGGAACCATCCTTACACTTGATAACCTCCGCAGCAAAATACTTGGCATCTATTCATTTATCAACATATTCGATTAAATCACTAAAGATAATACTAAGAAAAATGATGAAAAGGGGTTTGGAAATTGGAATACCTAATGGGTGAATTCCGAGGGGAAGAGAATTAGAACGAACAGAAGAAGAAGAAACAAGCACGACAAGAAAGGAGATGGCAGCAAAACAAACCGTGAAACAGCGTTTCAAACATAGCCAACTCCATGCCTCCATTTACTTTTCCCTTTCTTCTATTTTTTTTCTCTGAAATGCAAGGATATGGTTTACGGGAATTATTTGTACCCTCAATTGCCTAAGTCTTCAGCCATGACTTGACGCAAGAGTCAAAGCCATCCAGTATCGCCTGGTTTTCCTTCTGTTTTTGAGCTTAGGGTTGAATGGGAATAAATAAAGGGAATAAATTAAATTACTCATTTACTCACCCAACTATTGCTAAGTTTCTAATATCATTCAAATTCACCTTCCACACCTCAGTATTTCCAGTCAGGAATGCAGTAGTCAATTGAAGGTAAAGATCAACCGACATAAATCATTACCACTTTCCAAAATCATCCATATCAATTAACTTCAAACCAACTAACTAAAACTATCAGCCAATCCTGAATAAAAGCAAGCTCATCAGAATTTGGAACACATTAGAGAGATGAATAATGGTATTAAAATGGAGCAAATGATGAATCAGAAGTATGCATTAAGTTGATTAAAGGAACCAGAAAATTAAAAAAAAATTGTATGAATCAAATTACTTCACTAGCCAATTGAGTAAGAAAACAGAGAGATGTCACCAGTTACACACATCAAATGAACATTGTCGCCGATGACGAACGAAAGACTCACCGGATGTTGAGAGACTCTAAGTGGAGACAAAGCTTTCAAGTTACACCATTAAAAATCGCATGTTCTTAATATACATATGAAGCGGCTAGTTTTATTAAAATATTGAAAATATCCCAAATTAAAATAAGAATTTACAATTACTAAACTAAATATATAGTTTAGATATTTTCCAATAACATTAACATAAGGAATTAACTATTGGAAAAGTTGTGATAAATTGAAAACTTTAAGTCATATTTTCTATGGGTATAGATGGAGATTCTATAATGAATTTACTTCTTCATATTCAATTTCATGATATTTTTTCACAGTATCTTGTATGCTCAGAACGGTTGAATGATAAATGAGAAATCGATGCTCAAAGTGGATACTTTTGAATTGTGTGGTGTAAGGAAAATGGATAACTCATATCCTACATTGGTAGGATAACAAACATGGGAATGGTTTATATACACCAACTCACTTACTAGTCATTAAATGACTTAGGTTGAAATTATGTCTTGTGTACAAGAGCAAGGGATGCAAATCCAAACTTGTTGAACCCATCGGGGTTAGGGGCACACCTGCATGACATGGACGATGCGAATAAACTTTTTTTTAAGGAAATTGTGTAGCTACAAACCTCAACATGATGTTTTCAGTTTGTTATTTAATCAGAAATCAAGTTTTTTTATCATGAACCTTTCTATTTGATTATCAATAAAATATTTGATTTTTATTTTCTTTACGTCTCAGATTGTTATATTTCTACTACTAGCTACATTATATCATAGAAGGACCATACATGAAAAAGGTTAAAAAAATCAACCAAAAGACTCGAACGAGAAATATATACAAACAAATCTGACTGCATCGGCAAACGAACCACAAAAGATGATTAAACTATTGAAAAACCATCGAGAACTGTAAATCAGAGCCAAACGTCGTGAAAAACTATCCACGAGCGCTAAAACGCGTATCCAAATTCAATTTGAGGGTCCAAAACATGGAAGATCACCAAATATTGCAAATAAGCGTCATCTTGATCAGTTGTGATGTCATCAAATCCAACCCTAAGAAAACATAAAATAAAAAGAACGACCAATCAATCGAGGAAAAAAATAAAAAAAAAACGTGCTACAAAAACAAAAAACATATCACAAAAATATATTTATTCTTATTAAAAAACTAAAAGAAAAAAAGAGAACTGGTGCTCGTGAACCAACTAAACAGAATTTAAGAAAAGTTGATATGATTTATAGTGAACGACATAAACCCTAAAAAGGAAAAAAAAACCAAGAAAACAACACAAATCCTAGTTTTTTTTAAGGAAGTGAAGTCTAATAGTTGGGATGGTGATAACATATGCTCATTCGGTCTTCTAGACTATGTACAGGGAATACATTTTGCACCAATACATTTTGCTGTTGTTTTTCAGGAAAATAAGATTCTTGGATTAAGAACTTAACATTAAAACTGGAGTAGTCACCAGCTAAATAAAATTGAAAAAAAAGTTGACCTGATTTATAGAGAACAACATAAACCCTTAAAAAGGACAAAACGACACATTTTTTAAGGCAGTAAAGTCTAACAATTGGATGGTGATATAATATGTTTGTTTGGTCTTCTAGAATGTATAAGGAATACATTTTGCACCACTAGATTTTACTATAGATTTTTCAGGCAAATAAGATTCTTGGATCCAAGAACTCAACACTAAAATTAGTGTCGTCGTCAGTTAAATAAATTTCAAGAAAAAAGTTAATCTGATTTATAAAGAACGATATAAACCCAAAATGAGAAAACAAACAAATCCTAATTTTTTAAGGCAATGAAGTCTAATAGTTGGGATGGTGATATCATATCATATGGTGGTTGGGTCTTCTTGAGTGTGTATAGGGAATGCATTCTGCACCAATAGATTTTGTTTTAGTTTTTTCAGACAAATAAGATTCTTGGATTGAAGAAGTAGCTCAATTTCACATATGTAAGAGTTAAGACTAACCACAATTCAAGCAAGGCATTCCTTGAGTACTAGAGGAACTAAATACGTGATAGTGTTTTATTTATTTAAAAAATAATTTATGGAGAAAAAAATAATGAATTGGTGTGCATTCTAATTTAAATAAACTTATAAGAAGGGAGAGAAGTCAAAAACGGGGCGTCGGTTGTAGGCGATTTGATCTAACGGACACCCTTTGAACTTAATATGCCTCATCTAACACCGTTTGACCAATATTTCCCGAAGTAACACCCTTTCGGTTGAGGTGGCACAAAGGCGCATCCCTGAGGACGCGCTTTACCTGGGTTTTAGCTGACTGGGATGCCACGCGGGTAAGGCGCATCCCTGGGAACGTGCTTTCACGGGATTTTGTTGAGTCAGATGCCACGCTGTTTTTTTAATAAAGATTTAATTTTATTATTATTATAAATTAGTAATATATTATGTAAAGTGTTTCAGTTATAATTTAAGAATTATCGAATGTATTTTTTAAATGTGTGTTAAAGGTGGAGTGAATTTAGGTTAAAATGTTATATGTTTCAGGGATTTTGGCATTCGCCCATTCCACGCGACATTAATTGGATGGAACTATACAGTGTTCGACCCTCGGACAATGAAACAATAGATGAAAACCAGCTTTGATCGTATTGTAGTTCTAGGAAAAATGTATGAAATTATAATATTACACATATGGTTATTTATCTATTATTTTTTTTCTATTTTGATTATCGATCTATTAATCTTATCACTTAATTATTTAAATGTTATCAATCAAGTCATCTGTTGTCAATATTTAATGGAAATATTGATGCATCAGTTAATAAAATTAGTATAATTACACATTTAATCTTTAATACTTATATATTTTATCAATTTAATCTTAATTTTAATTTCATTTAATAAATTAATCCTCCAATTAGAACATGATATGTGTCATCGTATACATAAAGTTTTTTTTTCTAACTTTTAATTTGTTTAATTTAATATTCTTTTCTCTAATTAGAAGGTAGAATTATTATAATATTTTAAAATTAATAATAATTTTTTATAATAAATAATATTAATTATTATATTCAATAATTATAATTAATCATTTTAAAAAATTACCAATAAAAATAATTTATAGAATATTAACCAAATATCATAAAATAATTTTTAAATACTAATTTTTAAAAAATATAATTTATTTAGGTGTACATACATTTAGAAATTATAGAAAATACAATTACATTTAAATATTAGAAACAAAAACTTTCATTGAAAATATAATTTAAATATTTTTTCTATTGTGCCCGATGTTTCTGCAATGCCTACATCTTTTTTGTTTTGTTGACTTCTCCCGAATATCCATATCACAATGTATTTTAGTCGATTTTGGACGACCTGAGTCCCTCAATAGCAACGGATCTGGTACAATTGCAAGCCAAGTTTGAATCTCATCTAGGTCTCTTTCGTTACCTATGGGCGGAAACTCAAATTCATATACCTTGAATACTTGTGAAAGTTGGTATACGAGATCAACATAATTTTTGTAGTCTAAATACGAATGTGAGCAAGTTGCAATGACATGAGAGCATAGATATTTGAGTGCTTGAAAGAAACCACAATCACACCACATCTCTTGCAGATTAACTCTGAAAGAGTTAGATTCAATCCCTTGCAGCGGACGTGGCATTTCGGTTACACGAAATAATTCACGGGTGCGAGAAAAATTTGTAACCAATATCCCATTTGATGCAACCACTTTTTTCTGTAAATCAGTTACTAGTCTTGGGTGGTAAATATGGTCGTTCTGCATCCAAGTAAGAGCTTGTCCACCGAGCTTTGCAAAGAGTTGACCCAAACGAAAATAAGTCATTTTGACTAACGCCGGTGACTGGTAAATGACGCGCCCCTTTAAGGTTGAATTGATTATTTCAGCTAAGTTGGTTGTCATATGCCATAGCGATACCCCCCGTCATATGTATTTGTCCACATTTCTTTGCTGATGTCCATAATGTACTCGTACCCCTTCTTATTTTTGCCAAACAATTCTTGTAGCATAGACTCAAACCTTTGAGGTAAGAGTTCGAAACCTAAGCCATTAAGAATATGTAATAGTTAACATGAAGTATAAATAAGTAATATGAAAATGATTGAAAATTTGGAAAAAAGTAACATACCCATGCGCACGACTAACTGACGTTCATCGTTCTTCTTGTATTTTCCATAATAGTTTGCAGCAATATGACGGACACAATAACGATGTTGATCATGTGGAGGTTTCCACATTGGACCCAAAGAGTCCATTGCTGCTTTTATCCCGGCTTCTCGGTCTGAAATAATGCATACTCGTTCCCTTGTGACAACATATAAACTTAAAATTTTAAGGAAAAAATCCCAAGACTCAGTGTATTCTCCTTGAACGAGGACAAACGCAACAAGAAGAATATTGCGGTTACCATCTTGGACTAGAACAATAATAAAGCTTGTTTGTATTTCCCATACAAGAAAGTACTATCAATTTGGACAAATGATTTACAATACTTCA